GCCTTGTTCATCTCCCTGACCACACCTGCTTTAACCCCTCCCACAACCCCACCACACCCATTTTAGCCCCTCCCACACCAGTTTAGCTCCTCCCACACCCAGTTTAGCTCCTCCCAGCCCCAGTTAAGCCCCGCCCCTCTCACCTGTGGCGGGGCGCAGTAGAGCCGGCGCTGCAGCAGGTCCCGCTCGTGTGCCAGGTGTGCTGTGTTCAGCCCCTGACCACACCTGCTTTAACCCCTCCCACAACCCCATCACACCCAGTTTAGCCCCTCCCACACCCAGTTTAGCCCCTCCCACACCAGTTTAGCCCCGCCCCTCTCACCTGTGGCAGGGCGCAGTAGAGCCGGTGCTGCAGCAGGTCCCGCTCGTGTGCCAGGTGTGCCCAGGTTCGCCCTGCTCAGCTCCTGACCACACCTTCTTTAACCCCTCCCACACCCAGTTTAGCCCCTCCCACACCAGTTTAGCCCCGCCCCTCTCACCTGGGGCAGGGCGCAGTTGAGCTGGCGCTGCAGCAGGTCCCGCTCGTGTGCCAGGTGTGCTGTGTTCAGCCCCTGACCACACCCCATTTAACCCCTCCCACAACCCCACCACACCCAATTTAACCCCACCACACCCAGTTTAGCCCCTCCCACAGCCAGTTTAGCCCCTCCCACACCAGTCTAGCCCTGTCCCTCTCACCTCGGGCAGGGCGCAGTAGAGCCGGTGCTGCAGCAGGTCCCACTCGTGTGCCAGGTGTGCACAGGTACGCCATGCTCAGCCCCTGACCACACCTTCTTTAACCCCTCCCACACCCAGTTTAGCCCCTCCCACACCCAGTTTAGCCCCGCCCCTCTCACCTGGGGCAGGGCGCAGTTGAGCTGGCGCTGCAGCAGGTCCCGCTCGTGCGCCAGGTCGCGCAGCCGCAGGTGCGCCGTGTTCAGCCCCTCCTGCGTGTCCCGCAGCGTCTCCAGCAGCCGCTCGCGCTCCCGCAGCATCTGCACCATCAGCTGCTCCAGCCCCGGCTCCTCGGCCGCGCCCGAGCCCCGCCGCGGGTCCTCGCTGATGGTGGGCAGCGCCTCGCACATCATCCTGGCACCTGCGTGTGCCCGGGCACACCTGGGCACCCCTGGGGGGGCACGGAGTGGGAGGGAGTGTCAGCAGGTGAACCAAGCCTGAACCACTCTGGGGGTCCTGAACCACTCAGGGGGTCCTCGCTGATGGTGGGCAGCGCCTCGCACATCATCCTGGCACCTGCGTGTGCCCGGGCACACCTGGGCACCCCTGGGGGGGCACGGAGTGGGAGGGAGTGTCAGCAGGTGAACCAAGCCTGAACCACTCTGGGGGTCCTGAACCACTCAGGGGGTCCTCGCTGATGGTGGGCAGCGCCTCGCACATCATCCTGGCACCTGCGTGTGCCCGGGCACACCTGGGCACCCCTGGGGGGGCACGGAGTGGGAGGGAATGTCAGCAGGTGAACCAAGACTGAACCACTCTGGGGGTTCTGAACCACTCAGGGGGTCCTCGCTGATGGTGGGCAGCACCTCGCACATCATCCTGGCACCTGAGTGCACCTGCACACGCCTGAGCACACCTGGGCACACCTGGGCACACCTGTGGGGGACACGGAGTGGGAGAGGTCAGGGACTGAACTGAGACTGGGTCCTTTGGGGGCCCTGAACCACCCTGGGGTCCTGAACCACTCTGGGGGTCCTGGCCTATCCTGGGGGTCCGGGCTGGGGGTGGGCAGCACCTCGCACATCATCCTGGCACCTGCACACACCTGGGCACACCTGGGCACACCTGGGGGGACATGGAGTGGGAGAGATCAGGGACTGAACTGAGACTGAACCACTCTGGGGGTCCTGAACCACTCTGGGGGTCCTGGCCTATCCTGGGGGTCCTGGCTGATGGTGGGCAGCACCTTGCACATCATCCTGGCACCTGCGTGTGCCCGGGCACACCTGGGCACACCTGGGCACAGCTGGGGGGGCACAGAGTGGGAGAGATCAGGGACTGAACTGAAACTGAACCACTCGGGGGGTCCTGGCTGGGGGTGGGCACCACTTCGCACATCGTCCTGGCACCTGGGCACACCTGGAGGCACCTGGGGGGGCACAGAGTGGGAGAGAGATCCAGGACTGATCAAAGCCTGAACCACTCGGGGGGTCCCGGCCTATCCTGGGGGTCCTGGATGATGGTGGGCAGCACCTCCCACATCATCCTGGCACCTGCATGCAGCTGGGCACACCTGGGCACACCTGGCTGAGGGGATACGGGATCAGTACCCAGGGCTGCTCCAGTCCTGACCCATTTTGGGGGTCCTGACCCCACTCTGGGGGTGGGCAGCACCTCCCACGTCATCGTGGGCACACCTGGGGGCTGGGGAGTGCAATGGGATGCAATGAAGGTACTGGGATGAAATGGGGGGCACTGGGGGGCACTGGGATGAAATGGGGCAGGGGGATGCACTAGGGGTGCAATGGGTTTGGGATGGGGGTGGGATCAGGTTTGGGATCAGGTTTGGGATGGGGTTTGGGATCAGGATGGGGTTTGGGATCAGGATGGGGTTTGGGATCAGGATGGGGTTTGGGATGGGGTTTGGGATGGGGTTTGGGATGGGGGTGCAGAGTTCAGGATGGGGGCTTTAGGATGGGGTTTGGGATCAGGTTTGGGATCAGGTTTGGGATGGGGTTTGGGATGGGGTTTGGGATGGGGGTGCGGGGTTTGGGAAGGGGGTTTGGGTTGAGGTTTGGGATGAGGTTTGGGATGGGGTTTGGGATCAGGATGGGGTTTGGGATGGGGGTGCGGAGTTCGGGATGGGGGCTTTAGGATGGAGGGTTTGGCATGGGGGCTTTAGGATGGGGTTTGGGATGGGATTTGGCTTTGGGTTTGGGATGGGGTTTGGGATGGGGTTTGGGGGTCTGGATCCAGGCCAGCAGCTGAAGGACACGGATTTGGGGGGTGGGATGGGGTTTGGGGTGTGGGGTTTGGGAGGGCATTTGGGGTTTGGGAGGCTGGATCCACACCAACAGCTGGGGGGACACAGATTTGGGGGGTGGGATGGGGTTTGGGGTGTGGGGTTTGGGATGGGGTTTTGGGGGCTGGATCCACACCAACAGCCGGGGGGACATGGATTTGGGGGGTGGGATGGGGTTTGGGATGTGGGATGGGGTTTGGGATGTGGT